TAACCCTAACCCTAACCCTAACCCCTAACCCTAACCCTAACCCTAACCCTAATGTCCCTAACCCTAACCCAAACCCTAACCCTAACCCCAACCCTAACCCCTAACCCGTAGCCAAACCCTAACTCGAACCCCTAACCCTAACCCCTAACCCCTAAACCCTTAACCCTAACCCCAACCGTAACCCTAACCCTTGACCCCAACCCCGACCCCGACCCTAACCCTAACCCTATCCCTAACCCCGAAAGCACAGGTGGCCTGCTGAAAGCGCACGGGACGTGCCGAAGCGCCACCCCCCACACGAGCGGAACGTCACTTCGCACACGCTCTCGCAGCTGTTGCCTCGACAGTTCCCACGTCCATCCCCTTGCCAGGAACTAGCGCCGCGGCGGCTACAGCTCAGCCCAAAGCCAAATCAACAGTAATCACTCCGACGCCGACCTCGGCTCTGGAAAGCGCCATCTGATCTCCCCCTGTTTTGCTGATTAGGGATATCAAACTCGGACACCAAAGTGAAAGGAGCAGGCATATTTTATTATAATTAGCTAAATAATAACAGAAGAATACAGAAAACACGCAGTAAGAAAGACAGAATAGTGCACACACACAAATAGGCATATAACGGGGTAATGCATCAAATCCTGACTACCTGAGAGAGAGGGAACAGCGATTAAAAAAGATCCCTCAGCACCTGCACCCGTTGCCATCACCCAGACCCGCAGGCAGCCCCAGTTACAGCGAGGGTTTGCAGAGCCTTTCCCGGCAGGTGGGAAATCCTATGCGGTGCGTCCACCCGTAGCTGAGGCCTCCAAAGTCGCTGTGAGCAGGCCCACCCTTACATACCCCAAAATCAGCAAGCCAGAAGAGCTGGCACCTTGCTTTGGAGCGGAAATATCTGGTTTCAGGAAGCTGTCAGGTCTGAGAGCGACGACGGTCCTGGGTAAGAGCGGGCCACAGCACCACCTGAACACCGGCCGCCCTCACACACCCCTATACCCCCGCCCCCCCCAAAAAAACCTCACAGATTGGGTTGTCTTACCCAATTGGTGCTCCGGTGCTGCCACACGTGGAGTCGCAGCCGGCGCTGGAGCTGGGCTCGGAGTCGGGCACTCTGGGCAAGTGGAACTGGGCATGCAAAGCGGCGGCCACAGAGGCTGCGCCCCTGCTTACAGGGGGCTCGAGCTGCTGCTGGGACTGCAAAGTGCCCGGGACTGCAGGGCACGAGCCAGGCCCTGACTTACAGGGCAGCACCGGTCCCAAAGGCCAACGAGGCCCCTCCTCTCCAATACAGGGACACCCTGACCCGCACCCCACTAACAGGGCCGCCACCCCACACAAGACGCCAGCCAAGCACTATCGAGAGTGCTGGGCGCTGTCTGCCCTGAAGGCAGGTGAATCGGCAGCAGCGGCCTTTTCCCAAAAGGTTCTGGGCGCTGGGGCAGAAGTTCCCGTGGGGGGTTTCTCATCGCTTGGGAGAAGCTGCCGCGTCACTGCGGAGCAGCTGGTTGCAAGGGGCTGGCGGCTGGGGCCCACCACTGCTGCCTGTCACCCTAAACCTCCGCCTGCCCTGCCGTACCCTGGTCCCCTCTCCCTCTGCGCTTTAAGCCTCCAGGCTGCCGGGCACCACCAGGTGAGAAAATGGGGTCTGAGGTGGCTGAGGCCAGGGCAGGGGGTAGGAGGGAGGAAGGAGTGCCGGGTGCCAGAGCGCGCTGAGGGAAGATCCCTCAGGGGGTTGGTTTCCCCGTCGTCCAGGCAGAGGAGCTAGCGCCCAACCGCGCCTTCCTTCCAGGCACCAACTCCCGGAGAAGAAAGAAGGAAGAAGCATCCGTGGTCTGCGGAAGAAACTACGAGGCGAGGGCAAGAGGGAGGAGGAGCGGCACGCTGAAACAGGGGAAAGAGAAAGGTGCTGTGGGCAAAGGGCCCTCCCTGCCACCAAGGCTGCTGTGGGACGAGAGCATCCTGGGCAATTCTGGGAGGGTCTCGAGGACTCTGGGACAGGTACTTGGCTCAGGGCCGTTCCCTACGTTTCTAGAGGCTACTGCGATTCTCGGTGAAGGGGACACAACTGCCAAGCATTTGCCCTCGAAGGCCGGGGGTCCCAGACGCCCGCTCGCTACCCAGTCCTCCTGCGAGGGCGGGGAACGGGCCCAACCCTGCTTACAGGGCCGTCGGGCTGCTCCTGGGGTCAGAGGGCTCCACGGCTCGTGGCACTCGCTCCGAGTACGGGGCCAGCACGCTGGCAGGTCGCCAGCAGGACAGGCAGCCACCCAGGCAGTGACCCAGGCCCAGACTGCGGGCGGGTCACTCGTCGGCCATGCTACGACCACGTGGCTTGGCTCTGTCCTTGGAAAGGAGGGGCAAGCCGGGACTCGCCCTCCACTCGCGGGCTCAGCGGGGACCGACCCCCTGTTGCTGCACAGAGCCCCTCTTTCCCTCCCGGGAAGTTTAAGCTCAGTACGCTGCAGCGATTTCAACAGGGGCCTAAACAAGAAGCTCCTTCACTCGCACACTCGCACCGACGCGGACACAGGCAGGCACACGGACACGGATAGGGGGAAAGAAAACTTCCCAGAAGAGAGAGCGAGCTTTGTGCAGCCAATGTCTGGGGAGCCATCCCCTCCCGCAAGCAGGAGAGCAGAGCCTGGGACCTGCCCCCCCAGACGCACGGAGCCCAGAGGGACTCAACGTGCCACGGGGCTTCGCGGGGGACTGAGGGACAAGTGCCGTGACCAGCCCCGACTCCAGGGGGTCACGCTGGCCAGGCCACCAGCAGGCTCTTCCTTTTCTTTGTCTTCTCCCTTCCTCTTCTACAGCTCCAGGTGCCTGGCTTTCCTCCACTTATGAGAATATGTAGGCGTCTCACAGCTCTTACGAGATGAGACCTGCTAGACACAGAACCTCATTCAATCACGCACTATGTGCAGGAGTAGGACAGAGGAAAAACAGAGAAACTGATAAGTGAGGAGCAGAACGGAAGGTCGAGAGAGAAATGGACTGAGGAGTGAGAGTGATGCGAAAGGTACAGAACAAGCAGTCAGAAGTGCAGACAGAAAAAGAAAAGGGAGCAGCAAGACAAGAGAGAGAAAGTGAGAGAGGAAGGGGGAGCAAGGCAGAAGAAGAGAAAGAAAAGGTAGAGAAGAAAAAATAAATCACAGCATGGGAAAGAGAGGGGCAGGAAGGGACTGGGACAAACAAGGGGGGGCGACAGGGCCCCGAGGGCCTGGGAGTCACCGCAGCTCTCGCTCCCGGCACTACCAGGAGAATTGGACAGATCAGATGCTTCTTTCTCCTTCCTTCCTCCTGCCCCTCCTCTTCTTCTGAAACTCCACTCGCCTGGGTGACCTCCCCCTAAAAGAATACGCGGGTGTCTCTTGGCTCTTACAAGACGTGGCTTCCAACCCACGCAGCCTCGCTCGCTTGCTACACGGCCGCTCCGCACCTGGGGTGACGCGCACAGACCCCGGGCGCACGCTGGCGGTCCGGCCAGCTGTGGACTCTGCAGAGGACCCCTCGCTCACCCGGAGAGGCAGGTGCTTTCCTCCTGCAGGGCGAGGCGGCTGCTGCCCACGTGCTCTCGATGTTTTCCTTCCTTCGCTTTCTCTGGCCCCTCCAGCTCCAGCCGCGGCAGCTCTCGCCCGCTGCCCATGGCCGGGAAGGCTCCACCCGTCCCTCTTGGCCCCCGAGGCGTAAGAAGCGCCAGGCCAGGCAGAGACACCCCGCGCCAGCCCAAGCTGGGTGCAGTTGGCGACATGCCCAGGGCAGGAATGGACAAGTGTGGCACCAGTGCAGCCTCTGGAAGATGGAAAGAGGCAGCAGCAATCATTATTACCATAGATCGCCACTGACAATTGGTACAGAGAAATGATTACTTGTTTTGAGACTTATTTACTTATGTACTTATAGAAAACTGTTTACAAACTTACTTATAGCAAGTTATAGTATTATTTATAGTATTTTTTAATATTGCTAAGAATCCTGCTTGCCCAGACTGTTCTGTGGAATTTTACTAAGAACTACTGTGTTCATCAAAACAAAGTAGTTCACTGTGAAAGTCTACCAAGAACTATAATGTTCAGCAAAATACTATGTTTTTGTCCTTGGGGAACACGTGTGCTCTAATTAGTTGGGTCTTGGCAATGAGTAAAGATACCCATATATGGATGATAGGAGTTCTATTGGTTCTTTTAGATAAGATAGAATAAGTAAACCAGCTGAAAACCCCTCCTGTTATTCAAGAAATTGGCCAAGAGAATCTGCGCATGCTCCAGGGAAAAAACAAGGTGAGAGACTACAAGCCTTCCTCCCAAAGACCCCTAAAGATGACCACTATGAGGCAATGCACAGATGTAAAGAGACCGTAAGCTGCTGACATCAGCCTTTTGAACCCACCCTTACTCATGCCTATGTATGTTTGTATTACTTATTCCACTTAATATGTATATTAACACTCTTATGAGTTTTTGTTAAAATGTACTGCTGGTATGCAAGCTTTGTGGAGAAATCCCCTTGCACCCCAGCACTGGAGTAAACATATCTGCTTTATAACTTTATTCGAGTTGCAGAATCTTTTTTCCGTGAATAAACCTGCTCATACTTTCTTTACAGGCTGCCAGTAGTCCAGAACTACCCGTCACTCCAAACTTGCACTCTATGAGCTGCCAGTCCTCCAGAAGTGCCGATTACTCCTCCAAACTCAAACTCTATGAGCCTCCCATCCTCCAATCCCGGGGCCGACGTCGCACACGCGCAGTCCTTGGACAAAGGCAGCGCAAGTGCAGTGCCAACTCAGGGTCAGCGCATGCGCAGTGCCGTCTCTGACGCAGCACATGCAAACTGGTGGGTCCCGGTTTGATGCGTGCAAGGTGCCATCTCCGGGTCGACACATACGTGGCACCCACTATGAGTCTGCATACACACTGGTTGTTCCTGGATGGCTCATGCCCAGGTGCCATCTCCGATTTGGCGCATGCGCACCGGAAAGAGCAGAGGCAGCAGAGAGGCATCTAGTAGAGAGGTGAGGGACAGGGAGCCAGAGAGCAGGAGACAACCGTGGAACAGAGAATGACACAGAGCAGCATCCTGGATTAGAGAGCAATGAGCAACAGAGAATAACAGAGAAGTGAAATATGACAAAGAGTCAAAGGATGAAATAAACAAGAGGAAGAGGGGCAGCAAGATCTAGAGTAAGGGGGTTGAGCATCAGTGACCAAGGTAAAGGGATATAGAATGCTAGGGGAGGAGGGAGAGGGAGCAACTTAGGGACACAGACCAGCATGGAGAGGAAAAGAATGCCAGGGAACAGGCCAAAGAAGTTGTGGGCAACTATCAGCAATGAGGAAGTATCTCAGCATGTTTGGGGCCCTGAGGATGTTTGGCAGTGGTGCTGGAGGCCCTGAGGCAGGGTCTGGAGTGTTTTGGGGCCCTAGGGGCTGCATAGTGATCTTCGAGGGTACTCAGCCAGGGTCTGGTGGCCAGTCAGAGTTTTGGGGCAGTTTGCTGGCTCTGAGGCAAGGTTTGGGGTAGCTGAGGGCCTTGTGGATGCTGTAGAGCCAAATCAAATGGCAGGGATAACTCCAGTGGCATAGGAGCTGGTGGGAGGGCAAGTAGGTTGCAGAAGCATTGGTGAGGGCCTTGCCCTTTACCCTAGCTGAACCAAAAGAGAGCTTCTGTGGGTCCCATAGGGTGCTACATGGCCACAGGGAGGACCCCGGAGGTGGGCAGTCCACACCTCCACCTGAGCAGTGTCACATCATCCATTGTTTCTTCACACCATGCCCATCCCCACAGGCACAAGAAAGGCCAGGAAGGAGGTGCAGAGGAAGGTGGGTTCACTCGTGCTCACCAATGGCACTCACTGATGGCGATGCCCGCTGCCACAAGGCTGTGCCCGTGGCCCAGCTCTGCGTTCATGGCTGCTGCCTGCAGTCAAGAGCTCACACCACAGCGGGGGGGACAAATGACATTTTACTTAGATGTGAGTTACAAAAGCAAATTTTACCAGGAAAGAAAGAAGTCAGAATTCGTACATGTAGCTACTCCCACAGTAAATAGTCACATAATGGAGTAAGCAAAGCTAAATCACTAGTAGATTATAAAATACATATATTTAAGTGCTGAGATTGGATCTTTTAATAGAGCTTTTTCTTTTTTAAAAAAACCTCCACAGTTCCATACAGTTGCTCAACTAAAATGAGTAGACTCTTTCCTGTTTTTAATATTACTTCAAAAGAACTGATTTGTTTGGGTTGGTTTTTCAATTTTTGCCAAAAACAGGTGTAGGCAACAATGGAATTACTGTAAATCACAGAGAAAGGATGCTTTCCACACAGGCCTCTAACACTTCATCACCTTGTCCCTAAATCCCAGCTGGGTTATAATTGAAATTTATTTAACAGACATTGGAAAGTATTAAAAGTATTCATTAATAAAATTTTAAAAAAGCGTGAGGGATGATCAATCGCTGTGGCCCAAGAGCTTGCAGAGTATAGCTGTATTTTCCTAACAATCATTTTATCATGTTCTGCCATTATTCTCATCATCCCCAAATCAAAGGAATTAAGTCCTTCTACAATACTCAAAATTCAGAGGCAGGAAAATAACAAACCCAAACAAACCCCACACAGAAGAACAAGGCAAGACCTTTATCCCATTTCAGGCCTCTTCATCAAGATTTCAGTAGAAATCCATTTCTGAGGTATCTCTGTCTCAGATGATCTGGACCATAAAGCTCTTTCTTGGGTTTGGCAAGTAATTTTTGTTCTTGGATTGGACTGTGCATGCACCAACCAGTACTTTTAAACACAGTCTAGACACCAGCAGGTTCAAATAAATATTTGCTTCTAAGAAGACTGCAAAAAAGTAAACCTCAGGGATGTAGTCATTTCAAATACTATGAGGATCTTTCATGAGAAAAAAAAAAGATCTAATCTGAACAAACAAAACAAGTGTCCTATGAGTAACTTGAAATTTGCAATTAAGATATACATCCCTTTTTAAATAATACAAATGTTTAAAAAATGGAGGGAGAGCTGGAACAACTGATGAATTTAAAGGTCAGAATTTTATTTTTTTTTTTAAAAAGAGTCCCTACCTTTTTATTGGATATAGCAGAACCAGCAGCACCACCACAGTAAAATTAAAAAAAAAAAGAAAAAGAAAAGGGAGCTTGAGTATAGCTAGAAAAAAATAATTTTAAAAGCTAGCCTACTTAAAGATAATCTCCTTCCTTTGACAAGTCTGCAAGTAGAATCTAATATTTTATTGCATCAGATACAGATCTATAGAACATCGCTCTAAACTGAAAAAAAGTTATTTTTACATTTCAAATGCTTTGCAAGCAACATTAAAAGTTAACATATTTCAAAATTTAAGCTTGCCTCCCCTTCCCCAAAGGCTTCTTTTCATCTGTAAGCACTAGTAAATACATTCCATTGTCCCTCTATTTAAGGGGCCATCTGCAAATTCTTACAGTGTGACAAACAGAAACAAATCAAGAAGAATGAGAAATTAAAGCTGTTATACGTGGCTATAGTACACAATCACAAACAGTTCAGCGACCATTTATGACACTTATTGATTCCCCAGACTGTAGTAATTCTATCTTGAAAACTGGCTGCTGCTACCACCACCAGCTTACAAGCAAGTGGGTAACCAGGACCTTGACCATTTTTAATTTTGGTCATTACTGTTGGAGAATAATGGAGTCTGAATACAATCTGCAACCCTTTTTGCTTTCAGAAAGAGACAAGCCCACAGCTGTACAGTGCTGGCTTTTTCTTTGCACAGGCAACCAGAATTAAGCCTCACAAAGCGCACATTTAGGCAAATAAAGCATCCAGATGCCCCAAGTATATTCTAACATTAGTTTAATCCCCAGTGCCATGTAAAAATACATTCTAAATTAACTGCTTTTCAGGGGACCTTCAAAGTTGAAGATAAAGATCATAAATAAAACAAGAAACCAACTCCCTGCAGACTCAGTCAGGGTTGTCAATTCACAAGAGGTTCTTATTCCTCCTCCATGATACATTTGATATATTTTAGCACAGCATGGGCATATACTGATACATAGCTATGTCATTAAAAGTTGTATGTGCAGGTTTCTATGCATGTCCCCTTTCACAGACTTGCTGTCAGAGGTTGGTTACTTCCCATAGAATTTCTTATTCAGAAGAAAGATCAGAAGGTTGACATTCACTTTTGCTCTGTCGAACAACTTCATGACTGCAACACCTTCATATTGCAGCTGCAAAAGGTCCTGCCAAAGAGAATACCTTTATGAGTGAGGAATCCTCAGGAGTCTATAGAGAATATACAAGACCCTGTGGTACAGTAGGTTTTTGAGGATTATCTATTGCAAAGTACATTGTGTAAGATAGAAAAACAAGAGACTCATTAAAGATCCACACACACTGCGTGAAAAATGAAGTTGCTCTAAGGCATTCAAGATCCTATTTTTTTACATCTGTGTTTATTAAAAATTTACAAAAGAAGACAGAAATAGAAGACCATTCTAAGAAAGCCAAATTTCAGACCTAACCATCTCCAGGCTTTTCACTTGCACAGTAACCATAAAGTTGCTGTAATGTTTAAAAAGGGTCTCTTATGTACCTAATTGTATTATGTACCCATGAAACATTACAACATTCCACACCATCACTTTCTAAGTCTTAGTTGCCACAGGTCTCAGTGGCAATACAATCTAGGGCAGAGAAAGAAATGAGTCTCTCAGACATTTATGTAAGCAATCTTATTTACACTTTGCTGTTGTCAGTGATGCACCCGACCAAGCAATAGGACTCCCTGCACTGATTGCTCATCAATGAGTTTCTTTCTGCAAGCCCACTCTTAAACAATACATATTGAAGAAGGCCTTCAGGTAGTACTACTGCAGGGAAATGGTGTGCATTCTGAAAACCTAATCTGGCTCCTGCAGGTGTCCAGCCTGGGTGGCACTGGAGTAAACAATCATAAAACTATTTTTGCTGCTTTCTGTAAAAATATTGTCAATGGCAATGCAAGTCTTTTTAACTGATGCCACTGTTAATGCTATATATTTGGATGACCAACAGCAGTTCCCTCACTGCTGTCCTCTCAGAACATCTGCTTCTTCTGCAACACAGTGCTGCAAAGGCATAGTGGTATAGTGACACGTGCCTGAGGAACAAGTGACCTTGGGTAGCCCCATGAACCAAGAAGTTGGTGACCAGCTCTGATAGATTAGGACCGGAACGAACTATGGGACTCCTCACAGCACACGAATGGCACAGCAAGGCAGCTGTCCCTCCCAGCAGCCAGGGTGGCTGCATGGACTTGTCCCAGTACAAGGTGTTCCTGCACACAATCTGTTTCGAGACCCCTGAGGCATCCATAACTAACAAACCTAACGTCAAGTTGGGTGGGTGCTAGGCAGGGACAAAGTGGAATAATGGGACAGAGGCACCAGGCAGTACAGTACTGCTTGGGAGGAAGAACAGGGAACCAGTTGGGAAGAGGTCAGTCCATACACCTGCTCGGTAGTCTGGCCTAAGGAAAGGTTGAGGACTCCTAAGAACCGTATGGCTAAAGACACCAGGAAGTGTAGGGTGGCAGAAAAAATACCAGTATGTGATGACCGGCCGAAGCCACCACACCCAAGGCCTGGCTGACTGCTGCCAGACTCCCAGTCTCTGCAGTAGCAGGAAGTTGTTGAAAATACGTGTTCATTTTGTGTGTGCACATCCAAGTGTTACTAAGAACACAGACTGACATCAGGCTTTCACTTGTAAAGAAATAAAAGTAGTCTGAATCCCCCATCTGCACTGCATCTGTTTCTCCTGCAACAAATGGGTTGTTTCTGAGAACATTTTTCAAACTGTTCAGGCAGAAAACACGTCGTTAGTGTTTTGATGAAGAGTCTGGCAAGTGGAACTTATACGCCACTACTAAATAGGACAGTTCTTACCTGATAATGTAACATAAAGGTTTCCATCTGTACTCCCATGAATTTTGCTTTTACCTCAAAATCTCCTACTTCTTCTGTTGGACTGATTTCAAATATCACGTTTTTAAACCTATGAAATTTGAGAAATGAAAAACCACAGTTCATTACCGAACATGTAACTCCTACTGAAACAGGGAGAGAATATACAACAAGAAATCTGAAGATTAATTCCTAAGAATTATATTCTTTACTCTCTATCCCCATTTGGAATGAGACCACAAAAGCTGACCAGACAATACAACAACGAATGGAAGCCTATCAGATTCTACATCCGGTAGAGCACATTTTCACACAAGCATAGTAGGACACAGGGTAATTTAGCCCATGCAGTCTAAACAGTCTACTTTACTGCTGCACAGCCACGCCTCATTTAGTGCACAAAATACAAAATATGATTCAGGATTGAAAAAAAATTTTAGTAATAGGCAGTCTCTCTGTATTCCACCAAATTCTCAAGACTAGCAAACTGCAGCTGGACAAAGTCAAGCTAGCATTAAGTTGATTTTTCAACTGAGAGTGCTACACCTGAGTACCCTTCCAGGACTGTGGGGATGACAGGGAAGGGGCAGGTGGGAAGAGGATGTCATGTTTAAATCTTGTTACACTTCTCAACCAAAGACCTGCTTTGTTTCAACCAGAAAAAAAGAGAACTGTGAAGTGATCCCTATATGCAAGGTTGCTTGGCCCTTGAGATGCCAGCCTAGATCACCAAAACTATTTCTTCAGTTTTAACAGCTACATCTACCAACAACGCTGAATTCCAAGAACAAAACCACAAGACAATCTGACACCATCTCCAACAAGTCTCAGAGCTTCTGTTCCTCAATTGCCACACCTAGACTAGTTCAAAGAAAGAGACAAGAACTCAACATACCCGTTTTCCTAGATACTCACTGGTTACTTTGCAGGTCCTCAATCTCTAAAAGCACTCCCTTCTCATGAAGTCGAGCTGCTGTGTATTTTAGAGAAATCTTTTTACTGTTTTTGCCTTTCATCTCCCGAGGCTTCTTAGAGACTCTGCAGAAAAAATAAACGAAACCCAAACAAGATAATTAGTCAAATAAGAGATTTCGAACAGCAAGCATTTAAACCTATTTGGATGAGGGAACAGAACCAGTATAGCTAATTAACCATGTATTTCTACTAGTGAGTTTATCTACAAAGCACATGTAGCCCAGGTTCTATCTCTGATTTGCTACTATTTACCAGTAACTCTTACACTACAGGAGAAAAAAAAACACACACCAACAAAAAGTCCCCAAAACATAACCACATGATACTTCACAGAAAGCAGTATCATCTATCATTAGGCAAAAGAGGATCTGGCGACAACTGACATCGAGAAGGTTGAGATTACTCAACAACTTTCTTGCCTCATTTTTCACTGGCAGTTGCTCTTCCCACATTGTACCGGGAAAAAAGACACCTTTTTTTCCTCCCCCCCGGAAAATCTGAATTGTCTTGCACTGCAACAACTGACTCCATTCAAGATAAAGAGGACAATCCGTGATCAATGCTTTCCTTGTAGGTAACTTATTTTCATTCTCTGCTCCTAGGAAGGATGATAGGTCAGACCGAGCAGCACGTGCAGTATCTGAGCAACCTGCTTCATTCCCACTGGACTCTCCAAACTCCCCTCTCCCAGAGGGACCAAAACTCTTTCAAGTGTGTCTTTTTTTGGCCCCACTCCAGGCACTGCCCTCTCCCTGCATTTTTCTACCACTGCTGAGACCCTTTCCCTAGAACTACTGCTGTGGCAAAGAGCTTGGCCAAGGAGCTTTGAGCAGATAGCATTAAGATTGTTCTTAGCAACAACCTACACATGATTTCTGCAAGAAGTACTTCTAGGTCCATGGCATGGTTCCAAGATACTTACTTGCCCTTGCTGGCCAGGTTATCCAAGCAGGTTTTGATGTAGCTTTTATAATAATCCACTTGCTCCCCATAAAAAGTAGCTTTGGAGTTCAAGGCACTGTATGTCTGCTGCAGCTTCACCAGCTCTGCCTTTCTTCTCTGACGGTATCTACGCTGATTTCGGATATCCTATGCCACAGAGAAAAGCAGGCAGAGACTTAACAGTCATTTGAGCTCTCCAGCTGCTCAAGCCCAGAACAGAGTATTTGAAACACACCATTTGACTTTGCTTAGTCTTGCTTCATGCTCCAGGCTGGAGCCCTCAGTTGCACTTGCCCCGGTTTAAGCATAACTACTACTTCTCTGTGTTGACTGGTTTTGGAACCCACCCACCCTACGCAACAGTTCATTTGAACCTTTTGTTGCTCTCATGAACTTCAATATTGTCCTAGTTGCAATGACTGGAGTGGGCACTGACAGCACATGATCTAAAGGCACGCAGCAATTTCTGCCACTGATGGGTAGGAAGTGTATCTTACAAATCAAGCATTATAAGCACAGCAGTGCACACGCGTCCTTATATTTCATTGTTAGTTGGCCACCTTTAAACCATATGTTACCTTAATACCGAACAAAAAATATCACATCTTCAAGTCGACTTGTCTTTTCATTTTTATCGTGTATTAATGACAGTACAATTGATTCTAATTGGTTCCCTAAAGGCAGTTATTTACTTTCTTTACATACTACTTCCCAAGTAGTTTTTTTGGTAAGCATGTGATTTAAACTGTCACTGTAGTAATGTACAGCAGTATTAGATCACTTTTACAAGTTTTTCTCAGCTTGCCCTTTTATTATTTAGGTGTTCTTGAATGGGTACACTTTAAAAGTTAGGATGTCTAAGTTAGGGCAAAACTTCCTCTTGTGAATATGTCTGTAGAGGCACTACTTAAATTAGTGAAAAAGCAGAAAAAAAAGGTCATACATCAGGATTTCCCCTCCAAGATATAATGCTTTCCCTTCAAGTACCTGAGATTCTGGCAACAGAGTCATTTGAGAAAACACAGATGTCCTATAAAAATAAAGGACTTGCCAAGTGCCAAGAGGTGGAAACACTTTGGCAAAAGGTAGGCTTCATATCTGTGAACTAGCTGCTACAAAAATTACTCCTCCTGAAAACTCCTGCCTCCCAACACTGCAAACTGTGAGCAAACTCCCCTATGATTACTAGGAAACCACTGATTGGCATACCTTTGCAATGTCGTTGATTAGTTCCTGGTATTTATTTTTTGCATTCACTGTCCCCAGTTCTGTCAACTTCTTCAGGCCTGTCTTGATTTTATCTTTTTTTTCTTGAAGATTTAAATTGCCGTCTTCCTTTACAGACACTGATTTTTTCATCTTATCCGGAGTTTTAGCATCACGAATAGCTCGTTTCTGCATAGCTCTTTGATGCTCCGCTTCCTAGAAAAAGAAAATAAAAATTTACAAATTCACAAGCAGATCAATTTTAAGGTGACAAAAAAATGAGAAACAGACTGCTTGACCTCTGGCTTAACGTAGGATACTGAATCCACATTTGATGAACACATTCCACATCAGAAGGGAACCATCAGAAGCCTACGTGCCATTTAAAAAGGTCTTCTAGCAACCCCCAGAGGAGTAAGATTCATGCATACAATTTATTTCCATTATATCCCTGACTCATTATTGTTACACACTGCTCCAACATCAGTGGAGACAGCTTCACTGCAATACATAAATGCAGATTTCCAAGTATACCCACATATATCTAGATAGGTGACAATCTCCTTAGTCTAAAGAAATGCAGGTAAACAACTTCATACTTGCTCTGAAGTAGCTGGAGTTTCCAAGATTTCAGTCAGCGTCTCCCCTGGTTGGAAGCGGATTACATCGACAATTAAACGTTTTGTGCTGCAAAGACATCAAGGAAAATAGAAGGAAAAAACCTTTAAACTGGGAGAGTTTCAATACTGTTCTGTTCTGCAATACCAACAAATCAGATTATCACTGGATGCAGGCTTAGACAGTAATACACTAGACCAGACCAGAACCCTGAGAAGCACTTTACCTATTTGACAGTATTATCAAAAACTGGTTCCCAGAAAGGATCAGATATGAAGGGTTTTCTCCCCATTACCCCCTCAAACAACAAGGACGTGGCCCAGATATTCCAAGGCAGACCCAGTTCTGCCAAGCGGACCACAGAAGCTGCAATTCCAAAGTGAAAGGTAAAGCAGGTAACAGCAACAGTGAATTTCTGCAGCCAGAAAAAGTCGGTAATGTTATCCATCCGTAAGTGTGCTTCAGTGCTTTGTAACAGGTATAAAAATATAGGACTATTTTCTTGTGTGTACAGTAACTGATCTAAAGCAGATCCTTGAGTCCAGTCTGGCGATAAACAGGGCTGTTCCTTGATCTCATCTGTGATTTAATCAAAGCCAGTGCCCACGCTGAGGCAGTTCTGTCCTTCAGCCACACAATGAAGCCAAACAGCACTTTCAATACTTCACAGTTAGGCTGGAATTATTTCTGGCATCACAAAAAGCACATCACATAGACGTCTTCCTCATCCACAACTTAGATGACTACCAGCACATCTGGTAGGTCTTTATTTTTTAAATCAATGTCACCCTCTTCTGGCAGGTAGGGAAATACTTACGTATCTTTTTAGAAGCCCGGTTAATTTAAAATTATTTTTGGCGACAAGATTTTCTTTTGGGATATCACTGTTCCATCTAGGCCAAGTGTAAGCTGACCCTAAGAATTCTCAGTTAAACCATCTAGCGCCTGAGCAGGAATGCATCAGAGTGGGTAAACAGGCATCTGAATGTCAGGTAGCTGCTCTGTATATCTCAGCAACAGGGATTTGCTTAAAACTGTCCAAGAGTTAATACTAGTACTAAGTCCTCTGGAATACAGAGCCTGGCGATCATGAAATCCCTGACAGTCCATTGCTCTCCTTCCATTAGGCTAGTAACACCTCTATTTCCCAAAAAAGGCTATCAGTCTCCATCTAGTAAGAGTCAGGTTTGGGGGACACTGAGTGCAGAGAGAAGGGAACTGCATCATAAACCAAAAAAAGGAGAGCAGCAACAGCAAAAATATCCTAAAGAAATATTTCCCACAGACAGGGGAAAGCTACAGGGAGCGTATCCTAAATTACCATCGTCTCCTGCTTTGCTGGCAGGATACAGACATAATCCACTCAAAGACTGTGTGAAGAAACCGATTCTGCAGGAGCTAGCAAACTTAGCAACAGAATGTTATTCACATATACTAGACGTTTAGTTACCCTTAAATTTTCTGTATGTCACATGTATGCTATTGAAAACATTTGCACAGGGCATTATATAGGTAACACAAATATTCACAGAATCACAGAATGGTTTGGGTTGGAAGGGACCTTAAAACACATCCAGTCCCACCCCCCTGCCCCGGGCAGGGCCACCTTCCACTAGCCCAGGTTGCCCAAAGCCCCGTCCAACCTGGCCTTGAATGCTGCCGGGGAGGGGGCAGCCACAGCTTCTCGGCAGCCTGTGCCAGGGCCTCACCCCCTCACAGGGAAGGATTTCTTCCCTATGTCTAATCTCAATCCACCCTATTTCAGTTTAAAACTGTTACCCCTCATCCTATCCCTATGACCCGATGCACAGTGCCTCCCCCCTTTCAGCCCTGGGAGGCAGCTCTAAGGTCTCCCCGGAGCCTTCTCTTCTCCAGCTGAACCCCCCAACTCTCCCAGTCTGTCCTCACAGGGGGGGGG